AGGGCATGGCATGTCCAGTAATCTTTCTGTTAGACTATGCATTTAGTCAGACCCTTGTTTGAGGCCTGGAACCAGTCTGGGTCACTGAACTTCACAGACAGGAAATTGGCAAAGATCAGAGAGCTTGATCAACTATGGGGAGGATGAAAGACTCCCAGAGAAAAGTGGAAGGAGTCCAGTAGATGCATTTTGGGAAAAATAAGAGAATTTTTTTTCCCCTCAGTACTGGGGAGGCCTCTATGGCAGGACAACACGCAGTTTTTGCTTATTTCTTCAGAAGGGGCCTCTACCAACCAGCAGGAACTTCTGTAAGGCCCAGGCACAACTGTTTAAGACTGGGGTTAAAAAAGAAAAAAGACTCGGGTGACTATTCAAGTCTTGGGCTGAGTGCTCTCGAGCTACTGGCCCTGGAAATATTTCAGAAGCTGCCTGTTCTCCTGCCCTGAGTGGTTCAGATATCCACCTGTTGGGCGTCCAATAGGTCCCTCAGGGACCCACTCCAGCTTTATGACAGCTGTTTCCTGGCAGCCCCTTGGTGAGAGGATGGGTGAGGTCACAGAGGAGTGCTCCCCAGGTTCCCTGGACCAGCATTCTCCTTTCTGTTCCCTCACCTTCATTTCAGTGTGTGTTCACAGCCAGGCAGGTTGGCCAGTTGTGACATCACCTGATCCTGCTATTCCAGCCCTGCTGGGCATAGAGTGGACTTAAAAGTTGGGGCAGGGAAAGTAGAAACTACTCAAACAAGGCCCTCTTGGTGACATGGAGAGTGGGAGTGACCCAGGAGACCTCAAGAGTCCTTAGGTTCAGCCTCCTACAGAAACAGCTTCCTACAATATAACAGTTGCTTTGCAAACATTCTTTTGAATTTCCACAACCTTGGAGATAGGTTTTCACAGGTATGGAATTGGAGATTAAGACAACTTATTTGCTGAGGGTTATACTGCTGGTGAAGCAGTACCTGCTTAGTCTTCCTGGCAGGAAAATCTGTGCCCTGGCCTGCAGAGTTCTGAGGGGAAAACTGCAGACCCCAGAGCCACCCCAAACCCACACAGCTGACCTGGGACTGGGACTCAGGGACCTGGTTATTCATCAGGGTGGCTTCCCAAGTCACATGTCTTCTTCCCACGTCTAATGTGGGAAGGCCAAAGATGAGACCTGGCCCAGGCCGGCCTGGGTCAGGTGTAACTGAGCAGCAGACAGGGTGTGGACTTAGTTCTCTGCCCTCCAGACTCTCATACTAACCAATATTGCGAAAAACCCGCTTCCAGGAGGGCCCGACAGGGGCAGAGCCAGTAGTTGTCTGGAGAGCCAGAGGCAGCGAGGTGTAGTTGAAAAACTCTGATTTGGGGTCAGAATTTCTGGGTTTCAGTCCAGGCTGGAATCCAGCGGGGACCTATGGCAAGTTACTTAAAACTTAAAGTTTCCTCATCTGCAAAACCGGACAAGAGTAAACTCCACAAGAAGCACGCTGACGCCAAAACAGGCATTGTTATGCGTCAAAGCAATACCAGCTGACCTTTGTTTCGCGTACAGTTGAAACCTGCGGGCGGCCCCAGAGATCCCTGGCCTGGAGCAGGGGTAAATACTACAACTCCCAGGAGGCTGCGGGCGGCCCGGCGCTGGGCGGTGACGTAATGGGGGCTGGCGCGGGGCACTGATTCGGCTCGAGCTGCCAGCGGGGTGGCTGCCGCCGCGGCTCATTACAGCTGCTGGAGCAGCAGCGGCCCCCGCCCCCGGGCACCCTTCCCGGGCCTCGACCTCCGGCCCCACACGGTGAGTCCAGACGGGCGGCCGTAGAGTGGCCAAACCGGGAGTACCCTGGGGCTACAGGAGGGACGGGAAAGGAGGTGGGGGCTGTTGGGGAGGCGCCCGGGTTGGAGGGGATCGGGACAGGGCGAGTGGAGGTGGCGGGGGTGCATCGGCCGGGGGACGGGGGTGCATCAGTCGAAGTGATGCCCAAAGGGGAAGTGGGGGCAGGAGGCAGGGGATGGGGCGTCGAGGAGAAGCGCTTGGGCTGGGGATGGGGGCGGGGAGAGTCTGGGTTTCGGGGATAAAGGTTTGGCCGCTTCCAGCTGGGTGAACGTGTGGGGGTGGGGGTGGGGGTGGGGCTCCGGACGAGGCCAGGCTCCGAGTGCGAGGTCCCAGGCTAGGGGGTGTGGAGCGTAGACCCCCTACTTCTTCTCGAAGTCCCACTCTGTAAACCCCAACAATAGTGAGGACTCCGCCTCCTCGCCTCACCCTCTCCCCGTGCTAGTAGGGGTTCGCGCCTCTTCTCGCCTTCTTTCCATCCCCACCGCCCTCCCGAGTCCGGGAGGAAGAACCGGAGCTAAGTGGTGAGTGACGGTGGTGGCCCTGCCGGTTGGGGGGTGGGCAGAAAGACAGTGGCTTTGTGTCAGGGACTCCTCTCTGGGGTCCAGGTTGCAGGCTGCTGTGCTTTGAGCTCCTCACCCAGAAGGCGAAAGATTTGCTGCCCTTAGTTGGTGGAGAGATCACGAAGCAGCTCACCTGGCCGTTGGCACTGTGGTGTTGGCTTAGGTGTCTGACAGACTGGGCAGAGATATTTGTGTAGGAGCCAGTAGGAAAGGGAGGGAAGGAGTGGGAAAGAGCTGCCTGCAAGAAAGTAGTTAACAGAACAGAGTTGCTGCAGGCTTTGGTTTGAGGCAGGTTATGAAACCACCTCGGGGACTGACGCGGGCAGCCACCTGCTAGTTTAGTGGCAGAACTTCAGCCTCAGCTGCTGTGAGCTTACTTTGTGTCTGCCAGCTTCTTCTTCCCATTTCTCCCCTTCTGGGCCAGGGGCAGTTGGTTATTTCACTAATGGAAGTGGTGTGTACCCTTAGTCACACAAGTCTCAAGAGAGCTTTTCTTAGTTTATTGCTGCCAGTCTTTCCCTTAGTTTATTGACTTTTCTTTTTTTGGCCGGGGCGGGGGGGGGGGGTGTCTCCTGGGAATTTCTGCTCTCAGGGTACCTGGTGTTCAGGCTGCAGAAAGAAGCTTCCCAGGGTATCAGTTGAAGCCATAGGTCTGAGCCCCGCCCCGCCCCGAGACGTCTCAGACTTTGCTGGGTGCCCTGTTACAGCCAGCAAGGAGTGTCGAATCATCTGGGACTCAGCAAGGCTCCTCGGGAGGGCTAGAGGTCTTGCTACTCCTTTGTCTTTGTAGGTCTAGGTTAGGGGGAAGTGGGGAAGGGAAGCAGTTTCTGGTCCTACTTGGGGAACTCTCTCCCTCTTCTTCGTCAGTAGTTAAGCCCTCCAGGCCAGTCACTTCCTAGCCAGTCTCCCCCACCCTCCACTCCCCTTCCGCCAGGTGGAGGCTTTTGTGCAGTAGGTTTCCCAGGAGCTGTGTTTGGGTAACTGAAGCCCTAAGGCCCTGGGAAGGTAAACAACTGAGCCAGTCCTGGTTTTCTAGTTCCCTGGGTTTCTCTTAGGCCCAATTATCCAGCCTAATGGGTTGAGCTTATGGGCCCCAAGAGCATGACTGCTTTTGGAGCCATCGCATGTATGTTTGTATGTTGGGAAGGTGTGTTGTGGGTCACATGTCCCCTGCGGTCTCTAAGCTTGGAGCTATCCGAGAGGCAGAAACTTGTTCCCATTATTCTGGAAGTAGGGAACTGATCCTTGAGAATTCCAGCTCCTATGCAGTCTGTGTGATCCCACCCAGAGATAGAGGGCAACTGAGTCTGGGGGTGGGGGGGGGAGGTCATTGCAGCAGGGTTGGGGGATGACCTTCTGAGCACTTCCAGGATACCCTCATCTGGGACCCCTTTCTGTATCCCCAGGAAAGATGGGGCTGTTACCATGGTGATGACCTTAGGGTCTTTATTGGGCAGGATCTCCCCTTAGCTCAGGAGGTGAGCCAGTACAAAGGTGCCATCTGTTCCCACCTCCTGCTGGTCAGAGGGCCCTCAGAGTTCTGGGGACAGCTGAGCTCTGGACAAGGGGCTGCTCGTTCCCCTCCTTACCTGCATCCAAGAACGGGCTGGGCTGCATGGTTTCATGGGCAGCCAGGGCAGCCCTCCTGGTTCCCCTTGCTGCAGGGCCTCTGCTCTTGGAACTGGGCAGAGGAAGGCATGGTGCTAATAACTTACACTTGGAAACAGATAACTAGGAAAAGAGGCTCAGGTGAGGATGGGTGGACAGAGAGGGAAGGGGTCAGGAGAGAGGCCGTAGGTGTGTCCCTGGGAGACATCTGTTGATGTGGGCTCCAGACACCCATGGGCACTGTAGATGTTGATCATGTTCACTGTCCTTGCCCCTCCTCTAGTAGGGAAAAGGGCCGAGGTGGTTTGGCAGGAAAATGGGTGGCATCAGGAGGGCTAGCCTGAGTGGCTGCCAAATGGATAAAACATCTGGATGGGTGGTTTTGTGTCCCCAAGAAGGCAGCTTCCAGGTCTGGGCAAAGGTTGTCTCTTGTCTGTTTGCTCTTTTTTCCTTTTCTCTCTCTTTCTACCCCCACCAATTCTCCTGAGTTAGGGTGCAGGGATACCCAGAATTGGAGAATTAGGAAAGGTGGGTAGAAACAGTGACCCTCAAATACTTCATCCACTACTGCCTGTTCTCACCTCCTTTTATTTCTTCTCATGAGGAGAGCTGGGGCTCAGGGGTGGAGATGTGTCGCATCAGACCCTCGGTGAGACGGAGTCCCGCAGGGTTACTGCTGAGTGAGTGTTGGGGCACGAGCCTCTTCTCCCCTGCCCTGGGCTTCTTGGGTAGAGGGCCCCCTAGAGTGCGAGATTGCAGGACAGGCAGTGGTTTCTTTGCTCTGGGGCTGGATGCCTGTTGATGGCCTGTCCACCCAGGCAGTTCCAATGCCTGGAAGGGCACTGTCCTGATTGGATGACGTGCAGAGCAGCCTGGTGTTTGTCCCAGCCCAGCGGCAGGAAATGGATAAAGCCTGCCTCCCTGCAGGAATTGGAAGGTGTGAGGGAGCAGGGAAAGTGGTGTAACCTGTCTCACCTGTGCTGCTTGTTTGTAGGACAGTGGCAGGAGAGGGGCGGCAGGATGAACGTGGGAACAGCACACAGCGAGGTGAACCCCAACACGCGGGTGATGAACAGCCGCGGCATCTGGCTCTCGTACGTGCTGGCCATTGGGCTTCTCCACGTCGTACTGCTCAGCATCCCCTTTGTGAGCGTCCCCGTCGTCTGGACCCTCACCAACCTCATCCACAACATGGTGAGGGCCTGCCTGCTGCCTCCCTTTGGTGGGGTTGGGGTGGGGGTAGGGGACCCTCCCCCCCCAGACGTGGGCCAGATGTCAGGGTGACATACTGACATCAGTCACCAGAGTTCTCTTGTTTCTGCCCCACTTCCTGTCACTGGAATAAAATCTGCAGCTATGGCCACACCTCTTGAACGGGGTGGCTTATGGTTTGGAAGAGGGGGTCATCAAGAGCTGAGCTAAGAATCCCAAAGAGTCTGCAGCACTTGGATGCCTAACCTGGGGCAGAAGTGCCTCTTCCCCCAGTCAGGATCTGAGTGTCCTTCTCTCTTGCCCCTCCATGCTCTTTCACTACCTGCTTGCTCCCTGGTACTCTTGGTGGGCAAGCAAGACCTGGTACCTTCCCATCAGCTGGCCTCCTCCCAGCTGGCGCAGGAAGCCTAGTCCTGGGCAGGAGGGACGGCGTCTCCTTGCTGGTTCTATCGGTGACTCCTCCCCGGGAATTCTCCTCATGCTAGGCCTGCCCTCTCACCCAGTGGGTCTCCTTATTCTCTGGCCAGTCTCTCAGCTGCTCCAGCCTGACCTCTGGCCCGCATCCCCCTGCCCAGTAGATGGGGCTCCGAATCGCTGGGAGCCTATGTCTGTGACTGGGGCAGAGGAGCTGAGCGGGAGGGCCCTTGGCTTTCTGCGTCCTCTAACGAAGGCCCCTCCCTCCAGGGCATGTACATCTTCCTGCACACAGTGAAGGGGACACCCTTTGAGACCCCGGACCAGGGCAAGGCGAGGCTGCTCACCCACTGGGAGCAGATGGACTATGGGGTCCAGTTCACCGCGTCTCGGAAATTCCTGACCATCACACCCATCGTGCTGTGAGTGCTTTGGGCAGAGGAGGATGCCAGTGGAAAGGCCAAGGCCTGGGGAACCCTGGGGCCCTGTGAGGCTTAAACCCCTCGCCAGCTGTGTCTCTTGGCTTAGGAATGAGCAGAGGAAGAAAGGCTGGGGTGCCCCTGGGTCTCTTGCTGGGCTCAGGTTGTGACTCCCTGGTCCTGTCTGTCCTCCGTTGGAGCTTCCTTCCTGCCACTGAGTTTGGTCCACAGGTCTGGGGTAGAGCACGGGGCCTGGGTCAGCAGGGGCTTCTGTAGTTGGGGGGATCTTACCACCCTACTTCAGGTCGGGGGGGTCTTTGCCGTAACTCCTCACTGTCAGGAATCTGTCTCCCCCAGCCAGGGAGGAGGGAAGAAAGGGATCTTTCAAACAGAGTTTTATACCTCCTCCCAACCTCCTCGTATAGGTACTTCCTCACCAGCTTCTATACCAAGTACGACCAGATCCATTTCATCCTCAACACTGTGTCTTTGATGAGTGTGCTCATTCCCAAGCTGCCCCAGCTCCACGGAGTCCGGATTTTTGGAATCAACAAGTACTGAGGGTGCAGCCCCTTCCCCTGCCCAGGATGGCAGGGGAGGGGTTGAAGCCTGGGCTGTGATGCTGAAGACAGAAGGAGCCTCTGGTAACCACCAGAGACGGGGGATGAGCCTCTGGGCCCTAGTTCTCCCCTCACTTCCCCCAGTAGCAGACTTGAAGTAGCTTGTAGTGGGTTGGGGTGGGGCCCCCTGGGGCTCTGACCCTTCTGATTTTTTTTAAATCTTTTCCTTTTGCCTTTTGGATAGAGACTGTGGGGGTGTTCTTGAAATGGGCTGGGCTTCTGGGCTGAACACAGACCTGTGAGGTTGGGATAAGAGAAGCCCCCTGCTCACTTGCTCATCCTCAGACTGCTAAAGCACTTTAAGCCCTGTGAGTGGGGCAGAGGGGACGGTACAGCTTCTAGTTTATTTCACTTTAATTCTTAAGTCTTTAGAGTGACACTTTAGTGTGTGCTTGTATCCATGATGAGGTGTGGCAGCACCTCATCGCTCTGGGTAGAGAATTGTCTAATCCAAGTCAGATGGCTCCGCACGACCCACCTGGGGTACTGGGTAGGAGTGGGGAGGGTAAGGAGCAGGATGGTGGGCTGGATGCGGGTGGCCTGGTCCCAGGGGTGAGGGGCCAGGGCTGCAGCCGTCCTGGCCCTGGGGGAGGGAGTTAGGGGTGGGGGTGGGATCCTGAATTGAGTCTTAGAAGAATGGGGTCACATAGCAGCTAGGATTGGTGTGAGGGGGGTGGGCGGTGGGGACAGACCCAACCTCATTCTTTGAGAAGTGGTCTGGGAGGAGGGGCAGGCTCGGAGGGGTCATTTACCCCCCAAGTGGTGGGGTGATGCATTGAGAGGGAGGCTGCTGTGGATCTGCAGCTCAGGGGTGGCGTGCAGGGGGCCGGGGGTGGAATGGGTTGGAGAGGCCCGTGAGTCATCGTAAGCCCAGGTCTGATGTGACACTCTCTGTGGTGGTGGTGGGGGGCGGCCTGGGGACACTGCATAGAAACGTTGCTGCAGCCCCTCCGCAGCCCTTCACCTGTGACCTTCTCGCACAGATGGGGGCTTGGCCAAGGCCTCTCGTGTGGCATGCACCTGTGGGCTCATCAGGTCACTGCCAAATGGGTTTGGTGGGCTAGAGAGTCCTGCATGGTCCCCGCCTGAGCAGGACAGTGGAGGGAGCAGGGAGTGACCTGTGGGGGCTGTCCACTCAGGCTGAGGAGGTGAGGGGAGCGGGAGCCTGAGCACGGACCAGAGGGGAGCCGCCTTCTCCCCACCCCCCCCGTCTGACTGGGGTCTGTGTCACTTCTGAGGTGTGGGTACCAGGGCCTTGAGGGAGCAGTGGGGGTTGGGGGGTCACTGGCCCTGTTTTCTGCCTCTTGGTCCCCCCAAGCCCCACCCCATGTATCATAGGGAACTTTCACCTCAAAATCTTTCTAAGCAAAGTGTGAATAGGATTTTTACTCCCTTTGTACAGTATTCTGCGAAATGCAAATAAAGGACAATGTGTTCCTATTTCCCCGGAGTCTGGCCTCTGCTTCCTGGAGGGCTCTAGAGGAGGAGTGGGGGGAGGGCAGTGTGGAGCATGGGTCCAACCCTTCGCTGGATGGTGAGAGGGCCCCTGGGGCCAGCAGAACAGGGTGAAAGGGCTGGTGGCGAGCTAGCCAAGGCAGTGAGCTGGCCAGAGTGCAGCAGTCTGCTTTGGGACTTCGCCTGGCTGGTCCTCAGACAGAACTTACACCTCTAGGCTTGACTGGCTGAGCCAGGCTGGGCCGGCACAGGGAGAGTTTGTGCTGCAGCCAGGGAGGGTGTCAGTTCAGCCATGGCTTCCTAAAGAAGCCAGAGTCCCAAGGGGTGCCCAGTCCTTTCCTCTGAATTCCTCCCCCTGAATCCCTGTCACTTCTCCTCCTGCGTTGGAGGGCGGCTTCTCCCCCTGGCCTCTGTGTCCTCAGAGGAAGCTTCCTGCTTCCTTCTCCCTCCATAAGCATGACTGGGAGGGAAGAGGACTTACTGAGGCTCACTGCCAGGGAGGGGCCTTTACAGCCTGTTCTGTGCCTTATCTGTGTCTGCCTGTCTGCCTCCCACCTACCTGCGCTCTGGGTCCTTGAGGAGGGAAGTGAAAGTGAAGTCGCTCAGTCGTGTCCGACTCTTTGGGACCCTATGGACTGTAGCCTACCAGGCTCCTCCGTCCATGGGGTTCTCCAGGCAAGAATACTGGAGTGGGTTGCCATTTCCCTCTCCAGGGGATCTTCCCGACCCAGGGATCAAATCCGGGTCTCCCGCATTGCGGGCAGACGCTTTACCCTTTGAACCACCAGGGAAGCCCCGTCGGTTTCTTACCTTTGACCTGGGTCGGCCTCCAGCCGGGCCATAAAGTGGCATATCTAAAAATCTGAGAGGTGGGGCTCCTAGCTCTCCAGTTTCTTTTTTCTCTCAGTTCCCATATTATACAGTCCCAAGACACAGTGGCCCGGAACTGTGCAGAGACCTTACACAGAGGGAATTCTTACAACCTCCATTTTTGGTGAGTAGCTGAGGACAAAAAAGAGGTGTGCGGCCTCTTTTTTGGACCACACACCTGTGGTCCAAAGAGATAGACCCGTTGGCCCTGGGCACAGCCTCTCCATAATCCCAGAAGGATTCCGGTGGGGAGTAAGTTGTGAGCTAATCACCATGACGGGGGAAGGGGCAGAGAAGGGAACATGGGTGAGGGGTGAGCAGGTGCCTGCGTCAGCCAGAAGGGAACTAGAGGAAGGTGGCCAGGAAGCCTGTGGGGTGTGGTCTGGCCTCAGCAGGGTGGCAGAGGAACCTGAAGAAAGGGGGAAAAGATCTGAAAAGGAAGGAGGGGCAGAGTGATTGATGGAAGAGGAGAGAGTAGGAAGGATTTGGAGGGAAGAGAGCATGAGGGCCCCAGCGTGGTGGCTATGTCGGGCTGGACTGGTGGTGGGCCTGTGGAAGGCCCCGCAGGGCCGGCGAGTGGAGCGTTACAGGGGCCAAAAGTAGACCAGGCAGAGGGTGAAGCAGAGAGTGGGTGGCGGGAGGTATCCCAGGTGAGGTTTCAGGATTCATTTGCTTTTACCAAATACGACGGAATCCTTCAGAAGGTGACCGGAAATGGAAGAGACAGGACTTGGGGGTGGGTGGCTGTCCAGGGTACCCAGCTGCAAGCCACTCTTTAAGTACAAAGGTAGGGTACTACCCTTTCTGTTTCCTTCTGAGACCAGTTTATCACCATCTTACTGGGAAATGGTGCGTAGGGGCACCCATCCAACTGCCTTGCAGAACAGGAAGGGAGGGAGGCCCAGGAGTCAGAGCCAAGGGAAGAAGTCGTCTGTTGGGGTTGGTAACGTGAGGTCTGCAGCCAGGCCCTTCATCTCTTCTGGTTCCTCTGTTCATCAGCACTGGTAAGGTTTGGGGATGGTGGGACTGCCTTCCCACCCATCAGGTCCCTCTGAGCAAGGGGGCAACTCTGCTGTGGGAGACTCAGAAAACAGGTCTCACTTTCCTTTTGGGGCAATCGCCATTCCAGCTTTCCTCCAGAAGGGTTCTACCAGCGGTGAGGAGAGTCTGGCATTTGTAATGGTCATTCCATCTTAGTTTGTAGTGAATGCCACACCTTCTAGAAACAGGAAAGCCAAATCATTCCAAGTTCTGGTTGGCCTAGAACTTTTGGATCTGCCAAAAGTAGAAGATCATAAAACCTGAACCAATATCCCCCTGCCCCCAAACTGCAATTGACTTCCTTTCCCCAGTTGGTCCAGACACAATGCTCACACTATTTGAGTCAATCACAAGAGTTGTGGTTGAAGAGCTAGACAATAGTGGAGAGTTGATTGCTGTCAGAAGCTTCATGGATGCTGACAAATTCCACTGCTTCTGTCTGGTGAAGAAGAGGAGACGTTTCTTTGGAAACCAGTATGACAAGACAAACCTCACCCTGAAAGACATCCTGGAGAGTGAAGTACCATTTGATATGGTGGTTCCTGAGTTCCAAGGTCAGTATGAGGTGGTGAGAGACTTTGCCCACTCCTACTCTGCCCCGCTCTCAATGCCCCATTGCTATCAACCAGGTCACCCAGTCAACAAAGAAACCGTAGAATTTGTATGTACATATCCATACACCTCAACTTAAGAAATGTTCAAGAGAGCTGTATGGGGAGAAGGGAATAGGGGAAGTGGCAGTTTGTTTTTCTTGCAAACTATTCCTAAGTAGTCTTCTTTCCTATTTTTTCCCTTTGTAAATAATTCGCCTTTAAATTAGCTGAGGTCTTCTCATGTGTTTATAAAGTTAATCATTGAAACGTATAAATAAATGCAAACAATTTGCATAGTGGTTAAGAAAGGACTCAGGCTTTAGAACTGGGGGGCATCTGACTTCAAAACCTGGCTCTGCCACACTTGCAGCTGGGTAACCTCTGGACAAGTTGCTTTATCTATGCTTGTTTCCTCATCTGTCAACTTGAGAAGCCTGTTGCAAGAGTCAAATGAGGTGAATTATGTAAATCATTTATCACAGTGCCGGCAAGAAGGAGCATTCAATAAAAGTTCTCCCCAGGCTTTTTGCTGGTGGCAGTTATTAGCCCTTCCCGTTCCCTGGGGATGTGGGTTGAATGGGAAGTTGCTGGTCAGCAGAACTCCGTAAGGATTCGAAGGCCTTCGGAGAGAAGTCTGTCCCATTCTCCTGCTTCCAAGCTCAGCGATTCCCAACTCCTGGGGTTTCTTGGGTTTCAGAAGCCCCAGGAGAGGTGTCGATGGACCTTCTCTTGGAGACTTTATTACGGCGTCTCATGCCTCATGGTGAGGAGTTTTACAGCTCAGACATCTCTACCAAAATCCTTTTGGTTCTCCCCAAGAGATGGAAAAGAATTCTAACAACACCACTGTATGGTTCTAGAGCACCTGCCACGTATGACTATTATGTGATCAAGAACTGTACCCAGATTGCTCAGAGGTGACGGGCTTTTCCACAAGTGGAGTTTAATTCAGCAAGCAAGCATCTTTAGGAAAATTTCAGATTAGCATTTTTCAAAGACTCTGCATTGATTTTCTGAAAATTGAATTGGCAAGAGTCAATTTACTAAAAGCTAGTTTTCAAAAAAATCAAAATCAGGGACTTCCCTAGTGGTCCAGTAGATAGGACTCCGAACTTCCACTGCAGGGGGCACAGGTTCGAGCCCTTGTAGGGGAACTAAGTTCCTGGGAACTAAGGTCCTGCATGCCGCCCAGCATGGCCAACTACCCCACCCCCCCACAAAAAAAATCAGTTTGCCAAATGACAAAAATAAAAAACTTTAAAGTAGGACTAGGATGTTTTGCAATGATCACATTATTCTCCAGGGGCAGTAGGGGCAAGTTTAATTACGGAAAATTGACGAGGTTAACTTTCTTTAAGGGAAATTCTGTTTGCATAAAAAATTCAGAGACAGAGGTGAAACCAAACTTTAAAAAAATTAAGAATGAGGTGAACTGATAATTTAAATTGATTTTTAGCAATTTGACCTCCTTCTTTTTGAAACATTATTATTTTTAACTATTTGGTGTGGATGTGTGTACATATGTTTTTTAAAAATTAAAGTCCATTACCTGATGTGAAGAGCCAACTCGTGGGAAAAGGCCCTGATACTGGAAAAGACTGAGGGCAGGAGAAGAGGGTGACAGAGGATGAGATGGTTGGAAGGCATCACCAATTCAATGGACATGCGTTTGAGCAAGCTCCGGGAGATAGTCAAGGACAGGGAAGCCTGATGTGCTGTGGTCCATGGAGCCGCAGAGTCAGACATGACTGAGTGACTGAACAGCAACAAAGTTTTATTCAGATTTCTTTAGTTTTATTCAGATTTCTTTGGTTTTCATCTAGTGTCCTTTTTCTGTTCCAGGATCCCATCCAGGACATCATGTTACATTTAGTTGTCACGTCTCCTTAGGCTCCTCTCAGCTGTGACAGTGTCTCAGAATTTTCTTGTTTTTAATGGCCTTGGCAGTTTTGAGGAGTACTAGTCAGGCATATCGGAGAAGGCAATGGCAGCCCACTCCAGTACTCTTGCCTGGAAAATCCCATGGACGGAGCAGCCTGGTGGGCTGCAGTCCATGGGGTCGCAGAGAGTCAGACACGACTGAGCTACTTCGCTTTCACTTTTCACTTTCACGCATTGAAGAAGGACATGGCAACCCACTCCAGTGTTCTTGCCTGGAGAATCCCAGGGATGGCGGAGCCTGGTGGGCTGCTGTTTATGGGGTCGCACAGAGTCGGACACGACTGAAGTGACTTAGCAGCAGCAGCAGCAGCAGCAGTCAGGCATATTGTAGGATGCCTCTCTACTGAGATTTGTCTGATTTTTTTTCTGTCTCTTAGACCTAGGAAATGGGTTTGGGGGGTGGGGAAAGATTACAGAGGTAAAGTGCTGTTCTCACCACCTCATGTCAAGGGTTTGCTGCTGCTGTTGCTTAAGCCTACTAGGCTCCTCCATCCATGGGATTTCCAGGTAACGAGTGGATTGCCATTTCCTTCTCTAGGGGACCTTCCTGATTTTGGGATCAAACCTGCATCTCCTGCATTGCCAGAGGATTCTTTGCCACTGAGCCGCCTGGAAAACCCTCATAGCAAGGCTACGTACTGTCAACAAGACTTATCACTATTGATACTGACCTTGGTCCCTGGCTGAGGTAGTACCTGTTAGGTTTCTTCATTGTCACGTTACTCTTCCCCGCTGCCCTTCTCCGTACTGTGTGGGCTATGTTGCATAGCTTGTGGGATCTAGTTCCCCAGCCAGGGATCAAACCCATGCTCCCTGCAGGGGAAGTATGGAGTCCTAACTACTGGACCAGGGAATTCTCCCACGCTGTAGCCTTTGTGTGCATGAGGTTTGATTTTTCTTTCTCTTTGATAAAGTACACCAAGTTTTATGTTACTCAAGAAACAAATGGGCCCTGAGACATTAGCATCACACACAGAGGACTGATTTCAGGCATTGTTTCTAGGTCTGTCATGTTTCCACCAGTTTCAAAATGCATTTTTTTCTCTAGAAGTCCAGGCCCACCCCTAAAATGCAGCAGTAGATGCTCTCCCTCCTCTGTGGGCTCAGAACTGGAAGGTCTGAGAGAAAGGCACTCAACTTGGCAGCATCTCCACATACTTGCCATTAACTCTGGGGCAGCAATGGACTTGGACTCTAGGCCCTTACACAAGGCCTTATGCAAGGCTGGGCAGAGTCCATGCTGGTGGGCAACTTTCCAGAGTTGCCTCACTTTACACCTGCTCAGGTCACACAAACACAGAGATTAAACTCTGCTTAATTTTTATTTCCCAAAGGTTGTGTTCATTCCCTCAGTCGTGTCCAACTCTTTGCGACCCCCATGGTCTACAGCCCTCCTGGCTCCTCTGTCCATTATTCTCCAGGGAACAATACTGGAGTGAGTTGCCATTTCCTACTCCAGGGGATCTTCCCTACCCAGGGATCGAACCCAAGTCTCATTGTCTCTATTGGTAGACGGGTTCTTTACCACTAGCGCCACCTGGGAAGCCAGGTGGTCAGGGGCTCCTAATTCTTTTGCTTTACTTTTCTTTGTTTCATTTCAACCTCTCAAATGGTTTAATAGGACTAGTTCACATTTACTGAGCATTTAGCAGTGTGCTAACTGCTTAGCTGCATGATTTAATCTCCTCAAGCATTGTAAGTAGGTGCTATGAATATTCTCGTTCTATAGATGAAACAGATTCAGAGGTGAAGTGACTTACCCAAGGTCATTTGGTAAGAATGTGGCAGAGTGGGCTCCAACTATGATAACTTACGGGGAGAACAGCATTGGCTGGAGAGCCATGGCTGGAAGACTTGCTCAGAAGAGAAGGGGATCATGAGGGGAGCCCAGGATGGGGCGCATCAGCAAGGATCTTCTAGAGATCTTTTGGGTTAGCCTCAGTGATAATAACAACATTGTGACCTTACCTTTCTCTTTCCAGGTCAAGATGGTAACTTTGAAATTCTGGACGTTGAAGACTCAAAGGAAAATTGGACAGTGAAATTTTCCCCCGAAATGACATTTAAAATAGCATTCCACATTTTCCATGAGATGAATATCAAGTTAAAAAAGTGCGAGATACCCTACAAATTCCTGGATTCCCTTAGGAACAAGTGAGGCTGGAGGTGGACAGCAAGGGAGAAGGAGAGAGGGAGCAGCCCATATTTTGGGGCACCTAGGCCATCGGAGGTAGGGGGAGCCCTGGCTGGTGCTGCCTGTCACTCCCTATTCCCAGTACTCCTCCCCCCCCCGCAACCCAGTCCTTATTCAAGCATGCCCTCCTCTTGTCCACCCTTAGCAAGCCTTCTCATTCATTCAGAACCAGCCTCCAGGAGCCCTTCTTCTGAGGTCCCCAATTTACTTACTTTCCTGCTGTCCTCCAGGGTAGCTGATGGCTCTGACTTGGAGCAAACTGGCTGGTTTTGAGACCACACTCCTCTGTTTTCTTAAACTGTGTTGCCCAAACCTTCGTTCTGTGCTTGTTTCACTTTGCTTTGTCGGCAAGTCAGTGGTTTCCATGTACCTGTCCCTCGCTGCACTAAGAACAGCTTGTGACCAGGGACCGTCTTTACTAACCTCGCTGTTTATCCCCAGCACATGGTAAGTACTCAAGAAGAGAGCTGAGGGGAAGCACGGTGAAATCAAAGCACCCCGGTTGAACATTTCCTGCACAGGAAGTGCCATCACCCCGCCCCACCAGAGTGGCCCCGATCAAGGGTTACAGACATGCTGATAGCTGGGGGCATGGTCCTTCCGAGGGACTCCAGCAGCCTCCGCCTCAGCAGTTATATTGTGGCTGGTATTGGTGGCTTCTCCCCCAGCTGGAATTGTTGGAAAGGGTGGCTGGTTAAGGGAAAGAGGCCCCTCTGTTTTCCTGGGCTAGCCCTCCCTGGGCAGGGTGGATGCCTTTTGTTTCCCCTTTTTAATTCAGAACTGAAAGGCTTCCAGTGAAATTGGACTGGTCCTTTGACCTGCTCCTACCACCACAGTCTTGCTGGGGAGGGGCTTTTGCTGAGGGAACTCATTTTTTCTCTAGAATGCATTGTTTCTAGGGTGAGGCTATGTTGAGTGTGTAAATAGAGTTGTGTGGGGGCAGGTAGGTAAAGGAAGGTCACCAGAGGCAAGGATGTAGAGAGGTCTTTTGGCTGCAAATACCAGAAGTTCCACTAGGGTGTGTTAAGTCACAAAATGAATTTCCTTGTGTGCTAGTCGCTCAGTCATGTCTGGCTCTCTGCGACCCCATGGATTGTAGCCCACAGGCTCCTCTGTCCATGGGATTCTCCAGGCAAGAATACTGGAGTGGGTTGCCATTTCCTTCTCCAGAGGATCTTCCCGACCCAGGGATTGAACCCAGGTCTTCTGCATTGCAGGTGGATGCTTTACCCTCTGAGCTACTAGGGAAGCCCATGAATTCCCTTATGGAATCAGAAATGGCACATGGACCCTGAAGGTGGACCGTACACAACCAGGTCCCAGAGACCCGTGTAGGGAGCTGGGACCGCTTCTCAGAGAGGGGGCTGCTGTGGGCTGGGCACATGCCCATCTCAGTGCCATGAGAAGGGCAGAAGCTTTGGACTCATACAGACCGGGCCTTGAATCCCAGCTCTGCTTATTTGCTGTGTGAACTTGGACCATTCAGGACCTGTCTCTAAGCCTCAGTTTCATATGAAAAATGGATGCAAGCCTGCCTATATCATGCGGGTGTGGAGAGGGTTAAATGAAACAACGTGTGAAGTATTTCACTGTGCTGGCATACTCTAATCTTCCAGAAATGCTAGTGAGTTCCCTTCCCACTTTGCACCCCTTCCCCTCCATGGCGGGTAAAGTGAAATTTGACAGGGGTTCCATGTTCCTTGGTTTTCCCTGACCTCAGGAGCACTTACTCTCAAATAGAGAGTAACTGGTGGGGAGGGAGAGATGTGCCCAGGAGGTGGGGCCCCTCTCATTCTCCCTTTTACTCCTTCCAGGAAGCTGAAGAAGGATCTGCCTTCTTCATTCCGATCAATCCAGGCGAAGAGAGAAGACCTGTATCTAGTGACAGAAACTGTGAAGATAGCAAAGACTGAAACTCTGAAATGTAAAAAGCAACTTAGTTTTCAGATCCTTTTGGAACTTTCTGATCTCCAAGCTTGGCTTGGCTCACCCACTGCAGGTCAGGGGCTGCCAGCCCAGACCCCAGGCTCCTCATCTCTTCTTCTGGACTTTTCTGAGCAGTCTTGCCTGCTCCTTGGCCTTCTTAGAACTTCTCTTCTTGCCCCAAGAAAGTATATAGTATCACACAGTCTCTCCCCTTTAAATCTCTGGCAGTGCTCTGTTTTCATTTGCTTCATAGCGCTTCCCATGGCTCATAATTATACAGGTGTTTGCTTGTTCATTGTCTTCCTCCCCTTTTAGGAGGCAGGACGACAGGAGCCATGATGCCTGGAACAAAACAGGCATGTTTTGTGCTCCATAAATTTTTCTTTTTGGCCACACATGTGGCTTGTGGAAATTTAGTTCCCTAAGCAAGGATCGATCCCAGGCCCCTGGCAGTGAAAGTGTTGGGTCCTAGCCACTGGACAGCCAGGGAATTCCCCATAAATATTTGTTGAATGAAATGGAAATGAAATCAGATGTGGAGTCAAATATCCACTCTGCTGATGTGAAATGGGCTCATCTGCTGACCCTCTCAGAGCTTCGGTTCTCTCATCTGTAAATTGAGGGTAATAATGTCTACCTCCCAGGCATGTTTGGGAGATCAGGCAAGGTAATTATGTCAGGAACTGAGGGGTCAATCTACATTGCTCCTTTTTCCTAGAATGAAGAGGAAGTGACCATCACCCCTGAGAAGGTCCTGGCCTATTGGGTAAAGCAGCTTGTCTTCCCCAGCGCGGAGAAGATGGTGAGCTAGGCCTCGTGGGGTCAGGGGGTGGGGTGGGATAGGGGAGCTGAACACATGAAGAAGGTGGGGGTCAGTTCAACTGGGGTCTGTGTCAGTCTGTAGGTGTCCTGGTGACCTGGAAGGTGGGGGCAAGTTTCAGGGACTGGGAAGATGGATGGAGGGTGTTGTTGCTTAGTCACTAAGTCATGTCCAGCTCTTTTGCAACCCCGTGGATTGTAGCCTGCCAGGCTCCTCTGTCCATGGGATTTCCCAGGCAGGAATACTAGAGTGGGTGGTTGCCATTTCCTTCTCCAGGGGATCTTCCCAAACACAGGGATCGAACCTGTGTCTCCTGCAATGGCAGGCGGATTCTTTACTGCTGAGCCACCTGGGAAACCCAGTTCTTCCCTAGAGGTGTTAGCTCCTGTCTCTCTCCCAGAATTTATTTTTTCCTGTTGGGCAGGGTGGGAAGACTGGGGAGATATTAAAAAGAAGAACTTACAGAGAGAGGACTGGGCTTTCTAACAACTGATCTCTCTCTCTTTTTAAAAACTGGTTTAGATATTTGTTTCTTTGACGAAACCAGATCCTTTCCAGAAGGTGAGTGAGTGGGCCTCCTGTTCATCATTCTAGAATTAGCAAGGATACTGGTTTTAAAAAGAGGATAACAAATGACCTGGAATTATAGAGTCATCAGTGCTGAGAATGTAACAGGATGCACTCAAGTTTGAGCCAAGGTGAAGGCAGGAGGAAAATCTGCCTGTTGGATAAGTACGTTGGAGTGCATGCTGGCCTAGGGTTTCTAGGCTCCGCCAACTCTGACTTGCTCTGTGTAGGTCAGTGGGCTGGATTCTGGGTTCACAGTCCTTACAGAAGGCCTGTTGGCTTACAAAGCACAGTTGAATTGCCTGGCCAGTTCTCACACAACAGCATGAACACTGGACTAGGAGTCAGATAGTCTCAGGGTCTTGCTGGCTCTGCCACTCAATAGGCCTACAGCCCCCAGAGTCATGGTTATACTAACCTTAAAAGGAACTAGGACTAGACCAGGAGACCCGTATGATTCGGTGTGTGGCTTCCTCTGACCTTTTCCTGAATCCCATAAGGAGGGTTGTTCTGCCTAAGGGCCCTTGGAAGGAGTGGAGCGAGGTTCTAGGTGGAGTAGAAGTCTAGGTGGAGTAGAACACTCAAGAGAAATTACTGAAAGTTGTAGACGCTGCAGGTTCAGTTCTGGCAAGGTCTTGCTAGCTCAAGTGAGATTCTCTGTCACTCTTAAGTGCCATCACAGAGGAGTCAGGGAATAGATTCCAGTTCCTGCTGTCATTCAAATTTTCTGAGTGGCTAAGGGCATGGTGCTTCTCTCTGGACTTCCCTTTCTCCTTCAATCATCTTAGGCATATGCTATGGCTGCCTATCTCTGAGTGTAGGAAGGGGTCTGTAAATATAGTTCTTTGTCATTTATACACCATGATGAGGATGCAGGCTCCCCAGCATAGGCAGTGAGGGCTCAGAGTCTAGAATTGAGAACCCCCGCCCCTGGGACAAGAATGTCCATGGGGTGGGCTGGGGTGGAGGTGACCTGAGGACTCGCTGAGATTATTCTTCCTCTCTTTGCAGAGAAAGATGGCGGTTCACCTTGGTTGGGTAAGGATGCAGGCCAGCTGTGTTCAGGGTAGCTGCACTCCTCACCTTTGAGCCCTCTGGCCCCAAGGAATGCAGTTCAAGTGCGGCAGCTGAGTGTGTGTGCATGCGTGTGTGTGTGGTAGTAGTAGTGGAGAGTGTTGGGAGAAGGGCAGTACGTGCTCAGTCGCTTCAGTCGTGTCCGACTCTGTGCAACCCCGTGCACTGTAGCTCACCAGTCTCCTCTGTCCACAGGCTTCTCAGACAGGAATGCTGGTGTGGGTTGCCATGCCCTGGAGAAGGGTAGGGCAGTGCCAAAAGTAGGTTTCCACTTTAGAGGTTGCATCTATCGCCTCTGAACACAGTGATTCTCACTGGCACACAGATATCACCTGAGGGAAATGTTGAAAGTAGTGATGACTGAGTTCCACTTCTGGAAATTCTGATTTAGCTGATCTGGGGGTGTGGTCTGGTCTGGGCACTGGGGGTTTTAATTACTCTGCAGGGGATTCTCATGCACAGTCAAGATTGAGCACCACTGCTCTAACTTTCTCTAAATCCTCATCACTCCTACTGTGGTCCAAAGCTTGCACTTTGAATGGCAAGAACTACATAAGCTTTGATTTCCTGGAGGTGGAGAAGAATTGAGGGTGAGCTGGGAGGTGGAAGTGGGGTCAGAGGAAGGCAGTGATGCTGGGTATCTATCTGCTCCATGTTAACAGAAAAAGACTAGAAGAAGGGAAGTTACAGAGAAGTGGTCTCCAGAAGAAAGACAGATCAAGAATGGGGTCTGGGGGGCCTTGGAAACGGAGCTTGCTAGGCTGAAGGGATTGGGTTCTTAATTTCTGCCTCTACAGGGGGGTCCTTGAGTTTGGAGAGTTTCCAAAGCATAACAGAGAGGGTTCAGGACATGGTGCAAGTCCTCCAGGATCTGACTCCAGAGGGGCAAGAAGAGGTGCTAAACTGCTTCACCAAGTGCCTCCACAGTGATGAAGAGCTGCAGGATCTAGGGTGAAGAGGAAGAGGCCCAAGAAAGAAGAGGGCAGAGAGAGGGCGGGACCAGTGGGGAGACAATCCACTTTAATGGGACTGGGCTCCTCTCTCCCATCTCCTGGTCCTAGGTGTCTGAGGTCCAGTGCTCTGGGGAGCTACAGATGAACAACGCAGCGAATTCTCTCATAAGCAGTCTTTTCAATGCTGCTGGGGTCTTGATAGAGGCAGAAACCATTTGGGATATCCTGGATGCCCTGAAGGGTGAGGAGGGGCTTGGATATAAGCTGGCATGGAGGGCATGTGAGCAGAGGGACCTGTGGGGAGTCAACTCTTGGGAGGAAGGGGGTATCACTGCCTTTTACATTTTGTGAGGCACAGACTTCACACTTCACAAACCAGCCATCTTCCCCAGGACAGGGATGAGGGACTGCCTCCTCTTTCCCCACGGTGCAGTCTCCGACCTCCTGCAGGCTAAGAGGAAAGCAGAAACCCAGTGGAAATAATCCCCGTCTAGCCACTCTGGGGTTCTCTGGAACCTTCTGTGATGCTTGTCCGGGGTCTGATCAGACAGCGAAGCTCTGTCCCACTATGTGCCCTGCCTCTCTGCTGACCACCCTCTCTCTTGTCCCCAGAGCTGTCTGAGGTCCGGCAGTTTGTTGCTGAGGCCCTGGATAAGGGGACCCTGCCCCTCATGGAGGACAAGGTAAGATAGCCTGGGCTGAGGGACCAGGTCCTAGTGGAAGTGACTGCCCATGCTCTCAAGGGACCCAGAAACCTCATTGACCAGTCGCTTCCTACTTCATAGTCCACTGCCAGCTCACATCTACGCAGCTGGTTTGTGGCAATGCCCTGGACATGTAGTTTTCAGGACAATTCAGGATGGGGTTTTTAGGCTCTGCTGTTTGCCTGTGGGCTAGAGAGGGGGTGGGAAACCTATTAGTTCCAGGAGGGCGATTGGCCCCATGTTGACGCATCAGCAGTGTTTATTACCGCTTGGGAGTATGAGGCTCCCCAGGCTCTGTGCCGTGGTGGATTACAACCTCTGCTATGGACCCAGGACTAAGGGGTATGGCCACGTAGTTGCCATTTTTGGTATATTTCCTTGTTCTCAGCTTTTACAGTCTGGTGGGTTTCCTTCCAGGTGGAGCCCGTCCTGGAGGAGAACTGGGGTGAGGGGCCCCTAGATGTGAGCTGTGATCCTGAGGCAAGGACTGCCTGTGCCCTCTATGTTGATGTCTCCATCCTGCTACAGCTGGGTGAGAAGCCCACCTCTGTGTCTTCCTAAGCATTCCCCCCACCAGCCTGAGTGCTCCCCTCCCCAGTCCGTCCTCATCATCCCTAATCCCAATCACCAGAATGATGTTTTTAAAACACACTGCTATTCTTTGATACATCCCATTCACTATGATAATGTCCAAAAATCAGTTAGATTGTAGGCATGAACTTCTGATTAAAAATGGCAGACTGATCATATTAATTACCTCTCTCTCTCTTCAGATTTCACTAAATGACAATAAAGTGATGGAAATGATAGAAACCCACAAGGAATAAAGAGAATTAGGCAGTTGATAAGGGATTTCAACACATCTTTGGAAGCAGTTAAAGGAGTGGTAAGCTAGGAGCCTCGTGACTGAGGGGTGTGGAGGAGTATAGGATGAGCCTGCTGGTTTTCATCATAAGCCTTTTAGTTCTAGTTAATATTTTTCAAGACAATAATTAAAAGAAATATGTACTTGTTGTAAAGCGTTTCAGATACTTCTCAAAGTCAAAGGTAAAGGCACCCCGTGATCTCCTTTCTCCCTTTAATATAACCACTATGTACATTTTAGGGTATGTGAACATTTTTTTCTATTGGGCAGTTTTAAAAATGGTAACTTAAACATGAAACTAGGATGAGATAGCATACATCTGGTTTGTATCTATCTTTTGAACTATTTATTTTTACATTTACATTTTAAAAAAATTATATGCAACAGGAACTTTTCTAAGTGCTCTTGAAGTGTAGCTTGGTCCACTAATTTGGAAAACTTTAACAATATCTACTAAAGCTAAACATATGCCTATGACTCAGCAACTCCACTTCCTTGGCATATACCCAAGAGAAACCAGTGCCCGTGTTCACCAAAATACTTGCGTGTATAAAAGCATCAAAATAAGAGCACTAAGCTGAAAACTATTCAAATGCCCAGGACCATTAGGATGGATCCATATATTGCGCTATACTCATGAAACAGAAGAGAACGAATTACTGCTACACATAACAACATGGGTGGCTCTCACAGACAGAATGCTGAGCAAACGGAGTCAGCACAAAAATGCATATTTGTGTTTGGGTCCTCTGAGAAGTAGGTGCCAAAATGGGAGCAGATATGCGAGAGACTTATTAGGGAAAAAGCTCATGAAGAATAAAGGGAGCGGGAACAGGAATAGGTATGGCAAAACTTCAAATCACATGATCTAGAACCCGTGAAAGGAGAGGAGGAGGGAGAGACTGAGTAGGAAGAGTCTCAGATGACAGCACAGTCTGAGGGTCTCTGCCAAGCCGACCAGAGCAAAAGCGACCTGCCAGAGGGCTCCCCATCAGGCAGGAGGGCCCGGCTCTGGGAGCCCATGCTCAGCCTTCAGCAGAGAGCTGCTCAGGAGAGGCTCAGGAGAGCTATGGTAGGGTGGGTCAGAGGTCCTTCGTCAAGCTGCTTCCTACAGCAGGTTCTCCTAGAGAATATCTGGGTAGTGCCCTCCATGAGACTGTAGGATTCCATTTATAGGATGCTCAAGAACAGGCAAAACAAAGCAATGTTGGTAGAAGTCAAAATAGTGGTTATCTTAGTGGGGACATTATTGACTGGGAAGAGGCATTAGGGAGTCTTCTGGAGTGCTGGAAATACATCAGGATTTACTGAGCTAACATTTAAGATCAGTATAGTTTAATGGAAGTGTATTATACATCAATAAGAAAGGCTTGAAAAAGTACATATTATATAGCTCCATGTAAATGAGGTGAAAGACAAGCAAAACTACACCGTAGTGGAAGAAGTCACCACAATGGTGATCTGGGGGGGGTGCAGTATGTCTGGGAAGGGGCAGTACTGAGAGAATCTTCTGGAACACTGGACATATCTTATATCTTGATCCAGATAGTGGTTACATGGATGTGTAACCACGTTTATGTATGTAAATGTTTATTAAGCTAAACACAAGATCTGCACACTTTACTGTGAATTTTTATCTCAGTAAAAACTTAAAAAATGTAATGAGAACACATGAAAACAGATTTGAGCAATACAGAGGAATATAAACAAATTAAGTAAAAGTTTCCTCTCAAACCCCTTAACCCTATCACCTAGTCCTACTTCCTTGTGATAGCCATATTAACAATTTTAGTGTTTATTACAGCTAAAAATGATATTCTTGTATTTATTCTTGATTTATTAATTTTGAAAGTGAAAGTGTTAGTTGCTCAGTTGTGTCCAACTCTTTGAGACCCCATGGACTGTAGTCCACCAGGCTCCTCTGTCCATGGAATTCTCCAGGTAAGAAAACTGGAGTGAGTTGCCATTCCCTTCTCCAAGAGATCTTCCTGACCCAGGGATCAAACCCACGTCTCCTGCATTGCAGGCAGATTGTTTATCATCTGAGCCATGGGTAGTATCTATTGATTACCCAGGATTAAGGATGAATGTGAAAAAACAGACACTGAACAGGAAGTTCAAAGTAGGAAAGTGTCATAAAAAATACAGGGTACCACGAGAGTGCTTAATAAAAGGTAACAGGGTGGTCCCATCTTACTGCTGACAGTCCTTTTCCCTTTTCCTTAAATGCTGATTCTAGCCATGCCAAACTATTGGCCTTCTATTTGAACATGACACGCACTTTTACAATGCTGTGCTTTTTAAATACAGGTTGCATTCTTCCTCTGCCTGGATTACCTTCCCCTACCTTATCCACCTCTTAAGCTAAGGCTCAAATATCTCTTCTTCAGTAGTTATCCCAGTTTCCCAAAGAATTTGGTTACTTCTTCCTCTGATCGACCCAGAGCATGTTGAATACATTTCTATTAAGGCCTTGTTATACCATACCAAAATTATTAACACATATGTCTGTTCCACTGATGTGAAAGCTTCTGGAGAAAAGGGTTTACTTTAAGTTTTACTTTTCTTTAATATAGTATATATTCTATAATTTTTAAGGTAACCATCAAAAGACTAGGGAACAGATGAATGGAGGCACAAAAGCAGAGTGATAAAAAGATTATCAACAAAAAGAATACATGAAACAAGAGAAAATGAAACCTTAAACAGGTGAAACAAAAAACCCAAAAGAAAATGGTGGAATGAAATCCAAATGTATTAGAAATTACATGTATGGGGCTCAATGATGCAGCGACAATGTAATATTGTCAGAATGGATAAATTTATCTATTTACAGTTTATAAGACATCTAAATAACATACACATATAAAATATTGAAAATAAAGTGATGGAAAAACATTAGCTTTGTAAATACTAGCCAAGAAGAAACTGGTATAGTTACCTTCAGTTCAGTTCAGTTCAGTCGCTCAGTCGTGTCCGACTCTTTGCGACTCCATGAATTGCAGCACGCCAGGCCTCCCTGTCCATCACCAACTCCCAGAGTTGACTCAAACTCACGCCCATCGAGTTGGTGATGCCATCCAGCCATCTTATCCTCTGTCGTCCCCTCCTCCTCCTGCCCTCAATCCCTCCCAGCATCAGGGACTTTTCCAATGAGTCAACTCTTCACATGAGGTGGCCAAAGTACTGGAGTTTCAGCTTCAACATCAGTCCTTCCGATGAACACCCAGGACTGATCTCCTTTAGGATGGACTGGTTGGATCTCCTTGCAGTCCAAGGGACTCTCAAAAGTCTTCTCCAACACCAAAGTTCAAAAGCATCAATTTTTTGGCGCTCAGCTTTCTTTACAGTCCAACTCTCACATCCATACATGACCACTGGAAAAACCATAGCCTTGACTAGATGGACCTTCGTTGGCAAAGTAATGTCTCTGCTTTTTAATATGCTGTCTAGTTTGGTCATAACTTTCCTTCCAAGGATTAAGCGTCTTTTAATTTCATGGCTGCAATCACCATCTGCAGTGATTTTGGAGCCCAGAAAAATAAAGTCAGCCACTGTTTCCACTTTCTCCCCATCTATTTCCCATGAGGTGATAGTTACATTAATATTAGGCAAAATAAACTTGAGGCATTAAGCATTATTAGTGGCAAAGAAGGCCACTTCAAAATGATAAAAAATTCAATTTACCAAGAAGATACAACAATTTTGAATTGCTATGTACATAATAATATAATCTCAAAATATAGAAAACAAACATTGACAGACAACAAAATAGTCAAGTACAAAACTACAGTGAAGATTTTAACACACTCCTCTTAGTAATTTATAGAATAAGCAGCTAAAATGTCAGTAATACAGATACTTTGAACAACATAATTAACAAACTTGATCTAATGGACATATTTAGAAAGCTATACCCAACAATAACTGAAGAATAAAACGTTTAGCAGTAAAAATATACATATCAAACTTGTAAGGTGACTTCCCTGGTGGCCCAGGGGTTGAGAGTTCTCCTGCAAGTGCAAGGGACATCAACTGGATCCCCAGTCCAGGAACTAAGATCCTACATGCCTTGGGGTGACTAAGCCTGTGCACCACAACTATTAAGCTGGTGCTCTAGAGCCCTCAAACCATAACCACTGAGCTTGCGGGCTACAACTGTTTCAGTCCATGTGCCTGACAGCCTGTGCCCTGCAACAAGAGAAGTCACCACAATGAGAAGCCCACGCACCACTAGAGAAAGCCCAAGCGCAGCAATAAAGACCCAGGGCAGCTAAAAAAAAAAAAAAAAAAAAAACCCTAAAACTTTTAAGATTACCTAAAGCTGATATTTTAGAGAACAGAATATGTATGTATAACCTTAATTGTTTATGTGAAAGAAGAAACGCTTAAAAGAAAAAATCAAAGAGTATGTATGTCAAGGAGCTAAAAAAATATTAGCAAAATAAACCCAAATAAATGGAAGGAAAGAAAATAAAGGGCACAGCAAATATAAAGTAGTAAATAAATAATAAAGAGGTTCAATAAAGACAGATATTGGATCCTTGAAATCCGTAATAAAATAAACCTCTGAGAAGAGTGATAAAAAGAAAAAGGGAGAAAGAGCACCTACAATCAATTTCAAAAACGAAAAGGAGACAGTACTATGGATGCTATGTGTGTGTGAG